TTTTTCATATCGTTTTCCAACTTGTTTATTATCACCGCTGCCTTTTATTTGATTGCTTTTTTTCTCCCGATCTCGGCTTTGTTTCGTCCAGTAGACAGGACTTTTCAAGTGACGGTTTTAATTATTTCAATGGTAATTCATTGGAAGATCATTTTTATAGAGTTTTCCGTATGATTCGTCGCCTTGAAAAATTTCCGAGTGACTCGTTATTGGAAAAAACAGAAGTTTGTATTAAAATCGAAGCAACGGAGAGATATCTGCTGACGAATCGAATATTTTCAAAGTATGAGTACATTTTTATATTCTGTCTCGTTGGACGATCGGACGATATATAAAATCTAATCCTCCGTACAGAAGCTTACCATTTTATATGTTCACTTTTCGTACATTTTATTATTCGATGCACATACGGGATGGGGAGTTCATTTCTACCACGAATTTACATATTTTATCAGATTTCAAAGCTCGAAATTTTACATTTTACAACATTTCACATTTACATTTTCACTTTTCTTTTTTATCGTACAATAGAACAATGTTAACCAAGGGAAAAAGAGCCTAATGGATTTTCCCCTAACCCAGTAAATTTTAATTTCATTCTACTAGCAGGGAGTCCATCCCTTTATCAGCCCTTACTCCTTCGCTGCATTTCCCGGATAAAACCTTTGTCCGTTGGGTAGGATTTTCTGCATTTACCTTACAATGGTACCCGTAGACCCATAGAACGGTTCTATGGAAGGTATTCGAGCGCGAAATCATTCATGGTTATTCGATTGTTCCGGCAACAGAGTCGAAACAGTGAATCTTTGTTATCGAGCAGCCAGCACATTACTCCGTCAGGTTCGTAATCATGGAACAACGCCTCAGGTGATATCGCGTCTTCGTTAATCCGACTAATAGCAGTTTATTAACGGCCATTACCTATCGCATACCGCTCCTCGAGCTTTCGAAGTGCTTCCTGTTGATGCGAATGACGATACCACCGTCCTGTTACCGAGAAACAAGTAGTAAGGTGATTTTTTCGCCTTATTTCTTATCATTGTACAGTAATATTTAAATCAGTATCTTGGTCTAATGATGATTAGCCTCATCAGAAAAGCGAGAAATTGACGGAGAAGCTAGTTTGTTTGATCGCTGCACCCTCTACTTTAATTGGAGTGCCAAGATACTTGTGTCGAGAGACCATTTAGCAACAATAGAACTTTGGACGCAGTGGGCACTTTGTGTAATGATTCCTCTATCGATGAAACCAGTTTCACTTTATTTCCTTAAACTAATTGCAATTTGTCGATTACCCTTCGTTTACAAACAAGTTTTCATCGAAAATCTATGTTTCGAATATTGAAATATTTTTTTTTAATGTAACGAGTTTACCGAAAATTAAGGATATGAGAGTAATTAATAAGCCGATGTTACCGATAACAATTTTTAGTGGCCGGCGACACGCGAGGTGGTTGGAACGAATTAAACCATGAATTTTCCACAAATTTAATTTACTCAGAGTGTAGGTAAATTTTTCATAGTAATTGCGTAATAACGCTGAGATCAATTTCGGCCGAGATAATTGGAAAACAACAAACAAACGTACGATAATATCCATTCAGCGAAACGCATATTTGGTCAACACTTAACTCGACTAATTTAAATAATTGCGACAACCAGCGGCGTGCGCGAATAATTAGTACAGTTTCTACGAAGCAACAGAGTTCCATTAGGGGAAACAATAATTAAATTACACGTTCCCTGTCGTGTTTATTTATAGAAGGTAATTGTTCCCTTCAGACAGTCGTTTATCTTCCAAAGTAACATCCATTCGATTTCTTTTTTCCCTTCAATTTAACGTTGCACGAAACAAGAGGAACGGTTGTACCGTAATTGCTATAGAAATTGTTGAAAGTGAAGTTTACAACGGGGTCGTTTATGCAATCAACTTGACCGAAAATTGGAGAAATTGTCGTACAATGCAGTGAAAATTGTGCGGTACGATTGAAATATTTTAGCCATGAAATCAACGCAGTTGAGGATATTGCGCGATGCATTATGGAACAGGAATGCGTGTCCCTTAATTTACATGACGCGAACATAATTGCAATTAGTTATCAACGACCTTAGCATTGCATTATCGTGGAAGAGTAAGTCCAGTCGTGTAAGCTGGTATCTGGGTTAACTTCGTTATTCCCTCTAATCTAACGAATTACTACTACCTTTGTGCCGACGGAAGAAGAAGAATACATTAGCTTGGACCTCGAAAGAATATGACCGGTATTAACCCTTTGAGAACCACGTGGAACCCTTTTCATACAAGCTGGCTTGAAAATTTTTAGAATGGACTTATCGCTTCCTGGTAGAATAAAAAATAACAGTGGTAACGTGATAAAGTAACATTGTTGGGAGTTAATCGATGGAAGAATTGAATATTCCGCTTGAAAGCTTCGTACCAGCATTTGTTTCGACAGCATCGATCCAACGATGGAAAACGTCCACGGATTTTCCATTACCAGTATGATGTATCGTCTTCGTCTAGGTGACAGTGACATCGAAACGAGCTTGTATCTTACAGAAACCTCCTGTTTCTTCCGAGAAATTCTTCTTTGTTCCATTTTCATCATTTTCGTGGTATTCGTCAATTAACGACATCGAAGTCTCCTTTGTTCTGTCGTTTGTTAACTTATAATGCTACTGAAATAGTCATCCGAGAACAAAGGGACGGATGTTCTTGTGACGTAAGCGATGGAGGGTGGTTACCAAAATAAAGCTAATACATTGAAACTGAAACCAATTAGAAGATAATCGTTTACTAATGACCAATTAGGGAATTGCGTTTATGGAAAGGTTCCACGTGTTTTGTTCGTCGAGAGATAGAAAACGCGTAATTTTCTCGGATCACACGATCGGGTATCGTGTGAAAATAAATGTATAAACTAAAATTGGATTTTTCGTCTTCGAGGCGTATCGATCAGAGGAGAAATTATCATAAGTTAATAGTTGTTCGAACTTTCGCGGGGAACGATATCACCTGACATTAGCATTTGGAATAAAAAGTTTTTCAAATTACTCTACTTCTCCGGAGAATGAAATAAAAAAAAAAAGTTGAAAGTTTCCGGAAACGAATGAGGGAAGAGCATCACCTGGTTCGCCTCGATTAAAAATTTCCCGTTCAATTTCACGAACCAATAATCAACTAAAATACAATAATTAAAGAGACTCAAAGTGTATAACGATCTCCATCGATCCTTTTGATCTTATCATTTCCACTTTCTTCTTAATGCAAGTATGTTTCAAACAGCTGCAAGAAACGTTCCTTTCTTTCAAGAACTTTTTCCTACAAACGATATTTCACTCGTAGTGAAATACTTAATCATTTCGATTTATTAATCTTCAAAGTTTTTAGTACTTTTATATAGGCCAATGATTTAAAAGCTTCGATCTATATGTATCAATGTAACTCTAAATATGTTTCTGCTGGTGTTTCTCGTATCTTTGCTCATTATTTCCTCGAAACTCCGCCGAAAATGTGTAGAATATTTTATTTCACACGTTTCTTGATCGAGTGAGAAAAAGTTTGCGATAAGAGTAACAAACTGTTCCGTGTTCCACATCTACGTTCCCTCGAATTCCCTGATAAACTTCCGTGTTTCCCACGAAACGCGAGAACTTTCGGAATATTTTCCTCCCTGTAATTTCCTGCTCGGATCTTGCCGCGTGTCGACCCAATGTTTCCAACTTCCGAAGCATTCTTCTTCTCCTTAACGCTTTCGAAGAAAATACAATTGCACTTCCGAGGGAATTCCTGTAGGAAACCTGAAAAACCGCACTACTTTTCTACACTGTTTAACGCTTTCTTCGTTTCGAAATTATCCTGTTCGAATTTCGTAAAGAAATTTTTTCGTCGAAAAGAGAAACGCTCCTCTTCTGTGAACCTGCGAACTTCCACTTCCTGTACAACTCTCGCTATCTTATTCCGGGAGTGCCATTTCCTCTTTGATACCCAACGATCGCGTTACATATTTCACTTCGTAAGATCTCTTTCCTCGAAATTCAAGGTTCCTAGTTTCCGGTGCTCGCGATCATCGTCAGAAATCATTCGGCAGACGAGATTCGGCCCATTTCGTCGAAATACCAGAGAAAACGGTGGAAATTTTTCAGCGAAAACGGATATCCCGTTACCGATTCTGCAGCTTGGAAAATAAAAGTCAGAAGCGGAGTAAATGAAAAAGAACAGGCGCAAAGTCTGCTTCGACGAATGTTTTTGAAAGATTTTGTTCGCTGATCGATTTCCTTTGATCTCCGATGCGTGAATTATTATCGGACTTTTAGGACGAAAATGTTTGAAATGAAAACTGGTACACGCGGTTCGCTCGATAAATCATTTGCCGAACGAATGACGATGTTTGCTGGTTAATTGTTGACGCTGGACAAGCAATCTCCTCGGATTATGCGCTTAATGAGGTGCATGGAACTATGCATTTTCATACATTGTTTTTTAGCTGGAGGAAAATTTCATATAAATAAAATTCGAGGAAGTTGCGTTGATTGTGAGTTTATAACGAAGCAACAGAATTAATGAACGTGTACTCTTTAATGAAGATGAATGTACAGCCTAATGTAATTTCGTTTTAAAGGTTCTTTCGATTGCGAAGTAAATTACATCAGGTAGTTTCTAATTAATGTACTCGGGAACCCTATCGTTGTTCATAGTAAACTCTTGATTAAAATACATGGTACCAAGTAAAATTTTTTTATTTCAAGTATCTTCTCGTGCGCTAACGAAGAAGCTTGAAAATTCATTATAAAATTTTCATGGAAACCTACGCACATGCTGAACGTGTAAATTAACCCATTAGTGATGTTATAAACTAGAATGTGCGACTGTAGGAGAGTTGAAGTATTTTTACTCGTGTCGTGTTTTGCTGGAACAAAATTTCCATGGTACCACGTGGAAACGTTTCCCTAAACAAGGAAAACCTTTTTCTAACACGAGGATATCTTTTTGTCGACAGGTGACGACTTTCAGCGTTCAGCAACTGGGCGTTCGTCCTGCGGGAGATAGAGACCAGAAGTAAGGATGGCCTTTCACTGGGATAAGCTCTCACCGGCGGAATTTCAACAGCTCCAGGACTTGGCAGCTTGTAAGTAAAAAGTGAAGCACCTACTGTTCTACCTTCGAATGGAAGTCGAGAAGAAACAAGTGTCGGAAATAAATAAATCATCGAGCAGATGGTTCGTAACGATGTTACGTGAATACGTTAATCCTTTGAATGCATTTTTGATCGTTTTACTTATAATTTAAAGAATTATTAATGAAATGCAGTGGTCGACGATAAAATTCAAGTCTTCTAATTACACGGCATCTCATTTATCAACAGAAGAGAGACAATAAGGTTTACCGTTTTTAATTAATGATCACGATACTCGTAGTGATCGATTCGAGGAAACTGTTGCATAATAAGATTTTCTGCCAGATAACGAGGATATAAGAGTCTTCTAAGAACGTCTCAGTTTTACTTTTAATGATTTTAATACATCCCCCCGTGACTAATAGGGTAGAGATGTCGAGGGAAAGCCATGAAACGACGTGCTCATTGTTTATGGAGTTATGTAAATTCGAATGACGTCGTCTGAGGGAAAACGAGATTTATTCTGGTCGCGACGAAACGCGTGACTATGTCTCGGATAAACTACGAAATTTCGAAAACGTCTCTCCCTTACGTAATTCCGCGCACCGATGTATTTTCCCCACCGCTTCATTAATACTCTGTTCCGAGTATTATTCGGTGAAATGTCTTGCTGCCTAGCCGTATTCAATACCTCATGAATCTTTCAATGTTTCGAATCGACGCGACGTTTAAGTAGTATGCATTGAATTCTGTCTGACTATGTTCGCTCCTTTCTACTGCAGCCTCGTACCACGCCAGTTTAATTCCATACATTAACAGAAACTTAATTATTTATAATTACCACCTTCTGGAGAAATTTTTATTCGTGGTACTAGTTTGTCTAATTAACACGTTGAAACAATAGAAAAACATTATTTTAAGTAATATTGCTATGGTACAAATAATGTGAAATGGCAAATAGAAAGCTTAAAATTTGAAAATTAATTATTACTATTCTTAGTAATTAGAGCTTTAATATGTTCCACAAAAAATGCCCCATTTCACTGTGGCGTTCAACGTGTTAATTAAATTTCAGTGAAAATCTCAGTTCGAGCGAACCAAAAATCTATGGTCTGTTTCCAGTTTGATCTAAAAAAAAAAATGATTCGTATTTCCAGTTTTTGTCGAGAACAGTTAATCAACGTTGCACGAGCATGATCCATCATCGTTCTCGTCAATCGTCTTGAAAATAGTCGCCGGCCGAAAATATCCTATCGGTTAAGTGCATTATGACGTCGAGTCTGGTAGATTAGGCCAATGGTCTCCTATTATTAGTCAATTTATCGGCGTTGTTTCCTCTGCAAACAACTGAATCACGAATCGATTGTCTTCTATCCTTCTCTCCTGCCTCTTCTTCTTGCAATTTTCTTCCTTATAAACGAGCCGGCAATAAATCGAGGAAAGTGCACCTTTCCTTTCCTTCTTTCTCCTTTTTTCCGACGGGATACGTTTCGCACCGATAGCTACTCGACGAATTGAGCAATATCACTTTAATTATCGCCTCCAGCGATACCGCGAATTATTGACACTCTAGTAAAGCTTCGACACAGTGTATTTTATGGGTAAAGACGATTTTTGGTTTCCGAGGATTATCGTTGATGAAATGGAGCCGGTTTTACGAGAAACGGCCGCGCAGACGTGACGATTTTCACGCTTTCCAGATCACGGATTATCGAGTTGATTTTTTTGTAGCAATTTCGATGTTCGTTTCGCTCAGGAGAAACGGAGCAGCTGGAGATTCTGATTAGAATTCTGAGAATTTGGGTAATCGAGTTTTGTATCTTGGATTCGCGGAGAATCGGGATAACAGTATATTCTAATTAGAACACTAGGAATTCGTAGATCCGAGAAATTGTAATTTCTAATTGGAATTCTCGAAACTTATAATTTCTAAAAAATCGAAGAATTGTTAGCTTTGATTGCAAGCAGACTTTTCACTGTCCAATTTGTTTCACAATTTCACTCTACTTTCTACTGAGATCCTGAAATTGTGCTCTCTATGTGGGTAAACAGGAAACTGTCACTGTAGAAAGTCATTTTGAAACTTCATTGTTTCAGATTCCACGCGAAAGCTACAGGATGTTCTCACCGAGTTCTGCGGATCAAACACAACGCCCAGTGGTGCGCCGAAATATCATCCGGACGGGGTAAGTTTTCTAAAAAATTTCAAAATCTTTATCTTCTAAAATGAACATTCAATAATCGATAAGCGTGGAATATACGTACACACAAGCCGAAAGTATTTACCGTCTTGGAGAGGTGTTCGTCCCATAAAACTGCAAACTATTTCTGTGGCTATTACAGTGGGAATACGTCTGGATCCACGTGAACAGGTGCGAGTTATTGCGAGTTTATACCACACGATTTATGTGTCTGTGTGCACGTGGGTCCGTATAAGTACGACGGTGGACGTCGTTTCCAGTTTCATCCTGAAATCGACGCGACAGCATGGGAACGAATGTCGCTCGTTCAAAGAGTCTGAAATTCGTTTAACTTCTGGCTCGGGACAAGTTGTTTATCGTAGGTGAAGAGACGTCGAGCAGAATATTGATTCCGATCGTTTTCCGAAAAGTTCCCTCGCGTAAAAGTTGTCGAAAGCTTCGTTTCAAACACGTATGTACTCTTAGGATTTTTCGAGACTTTATTTTCTACGATTGAAAAATGAAGTTAAAATCGTCACGCGTGAGATAAATCGGTGAAAGCCGGATATTGGTTCGTTAAAATTGAATTATTCCATCGTTCGGTCCACATCGGGAATCAGGAACGGAGCGAGGAATTCGAAGTACCGATTAGAAAATCAGGAACGGACGTTGATTCGAGCAAGAATGTTCATCGGAGAACTCGTAATTAGGTTGACGGAGCAAGGAGTTAAGTCGTGATCGCACGATCCGTTTGTGTTGGACCGTTTGCTCGCATATTTCCGCCATTAGCCAGCCAGATATGCAGAAAACGCCCGTTCGGAATATCGACCATAGCGACCGCTACCATTCTGCGCATCGATAATGATTCTCCAGGGAATTACGAGTGGCTCTATCGAAACTCTGTTGGCTGGCAAAGCAGCTTACAGCTCGCGTCGTTCACGCCGCTGAACACGGCAAATCAGCTTTTCCATCGCGACCAACTTCTTCTCGCGTAGTAGAACCACTCGTCTCGTTTGCAGCGTACAAAAAATAAAGTCAAGACAGTTCTAAAGCTGTTTCGTGGTAAAAAATATCGTTGCCCTTTCAGAGTCTCGATGTAGTTTCATAATTAACAAACCGTCCTCTTTCGGAGGACGAAAGCTTTTCAAAAACACTCGAATAGATCGACAAATAAAACACACTGTTCCTTTGAAAAAAAAAAAGAAGAAAAAAAAATTGCTAACCCAGGAGTGGACAATCAACAGCGTCGAATAGAAATGAAAAGAGTAGTAACAAAACTAGATCGATGGAAGATAATCGACGAGCCGAAATCTCGTTTTCGCTGAACGAGAGAATCGAGGAACAAAAGTTACCACACTCGACGGCTTTTTGCTCGACGTGCAACGTCAGAACGCAAAGGTTGGACATCGGGGATCCAATTTTCGTGAACAAAGGGACCGCGAATCTGGCATGTACAAGGTGTGAAGCTCTTCGAAAGGACCGATGGTTCTAACGGCTGCGAGTTTCTATCGATTTCTAATAGCGATCGTATTCGATAATTCGAGTGATTTCAGTCATTACTTAATTTGTCAAATTAACGAATATCAGATCAGAGGATTAAATTGACGATTTTCCGTGGCCAAAGAATGGGCGAATTTCGGCGGGAAAATTGCCACCTAGGAAAACTTGGAAATTCGTCCTGATGGAAAAGCAATTGGAAACGAATCGAGCCGATAATTGCGGGTGAATCGAGTTGTTGGAGGTTAGCCTGGAAATATTCGGCCGCAATGATTCGCCGAAACGCCGGAAAGATTCTGACTAATCGTTCGTGAAACGCTGTTTCTGTTTTGGCCACACGCCAGACCAATGGTGTGAAAAATCGCGCGAGAACGAGACAGGCCTGTATTCGCAGCTCCTGGAAACAACTGTTTTGCTTATTTCGCGTACTCGCCGAAAGATAGTTGTCCGTATTTTAAGAATAAATGCTTATCTCGGATGATATTTCCAAGAAAATCATTCTTCGAGTCTATCGATCACTCGAGTCTTCCAGAGTAGCTTTCTTCCTCAAGAAAATTAATTGACCGAATGATCAAGAGGTAAGATTCGTTTCCGGTTAGACCGGGAAGCAGCCACGGGTCAATTGGTCGGATGTTTACTGTGACTTCCATCGTCCAGTTTGAATTAGTGAGAAAAGGTTAAAGTGATAGGAAACGATGTTGTTTGAAGGTGTCCCGTTTGATTGATTATATCAGTTTGCCCGAGAGTTCGTGTACTTTATCTTCGCTTAGATGTTGTTAGAGTTTCAGCGCGAAACGAGACCAAGTTGAATTTGTTGTTTATTAAATTATTAGTAGTTTAGCACGAGAAGAAGTCGGTTTGTTGTTGATTGGATTACAGTATACCCTTTGCGCGACCTTATTAAAAATGTAATTTAATAAGTACCCTCATTTGGACGAAAGTTTTTATATATTATTTTTCTGATTTTTCACCTCGCGTTTGAAAAAGTTTCCCTCGTTTCTCGGAACGCGCCTCATTTCCCTGGACTTTATATTCCGCTATGTTTTTCTCTTCGAGCTCGACTGAATATTTTCAATTGCTTTCTTTCCGCGGTTTTTCCCAACCCGAGATGTACAACGAAATGTAGATCAAATTTAAAAAGATAAACCATCGGTTGCGTCGCTCGATAACTCGGATGCGTGCTATCGTATCATTTCCCTGGAGTGAAGTTTCAAGGCGCGATTCCATTGTCCTAAGGAAACGTAATAACGCGGAACTGGAAGTTCTCGTGACTCGGAATTGGTGTAATTCCACGATTGGCATACCTTTCGCCTGGGAAATAAACCGGCGCTTTTAAAGCTGACCTATTCAAGCGGCAGCTTATCCCTTCCTTATTCGACTTCGTTGAAATCTACCGGAATTTTAATTCACCGAAAGTACACAAGCTTCTAATTATAACTGGGATGGATATCTAATTAGCTTACACTCGTTAATTTTCCATGGATGGTTCGCAAAGATGTCGATCAGACGCGTGGCGTTAAATTCCTACGTTAAGACGGTTTATTTCTTGCGAAGAATAAATATCCGCTCTTGACCCTTACTCTGACCTTCTTCTGCTCCATTTCTCTGTGCCCCTCTTTCGCGCCGATTAAACGCTATTTCACCCTGCTGTTGTTCTTATATATATATATATATATATTTATATCGATCTATCAAGCGTACATTATGTCCTTTCATGCTGGAAGATTCGCCTCGTTAACGAAACACGCGTTGATGTGTCGTGTCTATATCGCGAAGGATAAGTAATTTTGTAAATTTTATTAAAAACATTTCTCTTTTCTTCTGTCGGACGTAGACGTTTTAACGATAACGCGTAAAAATCATTCGTATTCGATATTCTCGCTGCCTCAATAGAATATCGTCGGTGTAACCAAGTATCGTCGCCAGCTTATGCATAAAACATTACCATTAACGAAAGCAATTTGCAACATGAGTCCCAGTGAATTTCGTGTTCCGAGTCTCTGTTTTCTGTTCCGAGGCGACGACGACGAGGAAAGAGAACAGAGAGGAATATTCGTGAAACAGGTACGCGTATCTGGGAGGGTTTCGACCACCCTTCGAGGAATTTTCCAGTGTGGAAACAGTTGCCTACAGCAGGGCGTAGGCAAGGATAAACAAGAAGGATGAACGGTGAAAGAAGAGGTTCTATATCGAGCCGCGAACGCGATATTCTCGTCGAGAACGGTTCTCTTCAGAGTTTGAACGCGCATCGCCTATCGCCGTATATCATCTAGAATTACGATCACGGTGTATCGTTTCCGATGATGTAATCGCAATCCCGTCGTTGTATCGCGAAACAAGAATAATAGAATAGAAAAAAAAAAGAGAATGAACTGAATTCGATCGACGCGAACGATATTCCCTGTGATTTAACGACAGGGCATACTGTTATGTGACAACTAACGCGTTTCATCCACGAGGTGGTTAAAAATGAATGGAACGAGAGGTGAAGTTGTAATTTTATTTGAAAAAGATTGATATCACGTTGCGTTAACATTACATTATATCGCTTATTATGTCACGATATAATATTTCAATGCTCAATTATAGAGTTATCCAAATTGAGTGTCACATCTTCAAATTGAAATAAAACGCAAAGTATTTGATTTTTGTATGGTTACTTTATTTTAATACAAAGTCTATTTTATGATATTAATTATGAAAAAATCATTCAACGGCCCTTTTTCGCCTTTTTTCATGAGGAGACGCCAATTGCCACTAAGATCGGGTGATTTAACACCATTAGATTTTTTTTATGGGGTTTATGGAAAGTAAAGTTTACGCCAATAATAATCCAAAGCAACAAAATCACATTGGGTGAAACGCATCAGGCTCGTGAAAAAAGCCGAGGAGGACATTTGAATAATATTGTCTTTGATAATTAATGTCACACAGTAGACTTTGTGTTAAAATAAAGAAACCCTACAAAAATCACATACTTTGCGTTTTATTTCAATTTGAAGATGCGACACTCAATTTGAATAACCTTATACAATCGTCGCAATGAAACCTGGTGTTATAATAATTCGGTATAAATTGTAGAGAGCGAATTTTTTCGGACTCTCATAATTTTCGAATAATACGACACACGTAACAACAAACTAAAAGTAGAAATTTGAAAATCAACCATCCATCATCGTGTGAATTTTCCATGGGATGTGTCTAACCAGCGACGTCCATTTTCAGGATGGCACTTAACGTGCATTAATAAACACCCGACACGATGAATTATTAAAAACGAAAAAATTGTAGTATACACGATAGGGAGGGACTTTTTTTTTTTTACTCCCCGAGGAGGTTCTCCTCCAGGTTCGTCCTTGAGGATGAAAGGCCGAAGGACACGGGGAGGGTGGAAAGGAAAGGTAGGAAAAACCGGGTATTCGTGGACCGCAAGGGTGCGGTTGCCTAGTTACTAGTGACGTCATCTGTGACGCATTCGAGAAAGAGAGGGTCGTCATGGATGCGACGAA